GCACGTTTAAATTCATGCAGTTTGGGAACCAACGAAAGTAGCTCGTCGGGGTACATGTCGTGAAAATACTTGTAGAAAAGACAGAGGGAAGCCACAGCACTTCTGTGAGAAAGTGACTGTATATGAGATGCCATATCCGAATCCATCATATTACATATTCGTCTCTGGATTTTTTAGAGGACCTCGAGACAAACAGTTGGGTGGGGGGCACCTGACCATTTATGTGTTGAGATGTTGTGAGTTTCCCGCATGTCGGTGTATGAATCAAGACAAACACAGTTGTAGAGGAAAATACTGGTATATTCATAAAAGCAATTAACAACAGAGTGATTAGTAGAACGAAGGTTGGTTAGTACGAAACAATATCCAAAGTCTATAGTCCAACGGTATGTACCGGGTAAGCTTATCTGGACTGCTAAGATATTTAGCCCCCCACCCCACGAGGGTGTCATGTGGCACAAGGCCTTTTTAACGTGGGCATTCCCGAGCCATTAGGCTCGGCCAAAAAATAGCCCATTTAAACCCGCATAAACGGGTTCAGGGCCGGTTTTACCTCCCCGAAGGAGACTTCGCCCTTCGGCGTAGCCTCCTTCGGGTTCCTCTCTGTCCGGAGACAGAGAGTTGAACCGATCAGTCGCTCAGAAAGTATCTGGGCTGCCATCACTGACTCTCTCCCCAGAGCTGACTTATATAAGAGGGACCAGTCCATTACTAGTTAGAAGTTGGGTGCGCCCCAACAATATGGCAACAGTATTCCGTGCTTGTATTCGAATGGTTGATTTATAGATGGACTCAGGCGGGAAAAACTTTTTCTGACGCGACCACTTCCGGTTAAAATTTATAAAACTTGACAGGAATTTTCAATGGATGGACGACTGATAGATTTATAAATGTGTATGGTAGATTAAGAGTTTAAGATGCGTAAGAAGAAGAGTTTCCTTTTGGCCCACAAGTTTCAACCCTTTTCCACATAAAATCATTAGTTTTAGGTTCTAATCTTCTAGGGAGACCATAAATCCAATGGGTCTGTGTGGAAATGTCTTGAAAAGTTTCTGGCCTACCAGGAACCTCTTGTCGCCACTGTCAAACGGAGAAAGATGGCGTGGTTTGGACTTATTACAAGGCACGACAGCTTGTGCAAGACCATCATACAAGGCATCGTTGAAGGCGGACGTAGAAGAGGACGCCAACGCAAAAACTGGTTGGACAATGTCAAACAATGGACAGGTATGACTATACCAGAATTTTTGATGGCTGCTGTTGATAGGCCATTGTGGGAGAGATTCAATATGGCTCCGCCTCTTCTACCCCAACTATGGGTTAATTAGTAGAACTTGTATCAGTAATTTATTATTACCGCCAAAATATGTAAACCATCAAAAAATATTTTCTAGTTTTAAATAACCTTCAAAAGAGATTATTAAGCTGTAAACAATAAATCATTCAATCAACTTATGGGGTTTGTTTTAGCGTACCGTTCTAAATGAAATAAGAAGCTATGGAGGTTTCAGCTCTCGGGATAATTAGGTGTAGTGTCAAGGTGAGCCGAGTTCCAATTCCAGTTGGGTTCGTTATGTTCACTTAGACTAAAATACTCTTGGGAAAGTAAGTATCCACCTCTTCTCCCTCAGCTATGGGCTAAATAGTAGGAGTTGTATCGCTAAATCATTATTATATCCAAATTAATCATACCATCTAAAAATATTTGTAGCTTTAAAAGGGGTTGAAAAACTATACAAAAACAAATCAATAAATCAATATATGCTCGGGGTTGTGTTAACGTATTGTTCTAAGTGAAATAAGAAGCTATGGAGGTTTCATCTCTCAAGATAGGTAGGTGCAGGTGCAACAATCCCTAATTACGTATCTGTAATTCTCAGGATAAAAGGTTTGTCCCAACTAAATGAAAAAATTGACACTAAAAATATATATTCAGGTGTGTATGTATTCTTGTAACATTCATTTACAGGAAGCCAGTATTTTGGTAAATGAACTAAACTCAATTTTGATCCATCTGCACATTAATACTGGCCTGAGGAAAAAATATGGAGTTGATTATGTCTCTTGAAGAGATTGATACGTTGATTGGCGTTTTGCATGGTTAAAACTTATAAGTTCTCTTAAACACTGACGATAGTGCATACGAAAACATTATGAGGAGCCACAAGCGATACAATTAATATGTTCTTCAATTAGTTTTCATTCGTTCTTGATTTGATGGAGTGGTAAAAGCCATTCATAACTGCCATCCGTAAAGGAAACCATTTTGGTTTTCCTTGTATCAATGGCTGTCGTCTGCTTCTTTCAGTTTTGTTACATTTTTCTCTACCCCGCTTTCTCTCTTTACATTATCGACTCTTGATTTACTTAAAGAGGACACAGGGAAAAAAATCAATCAGGATCGATCAGAAACATCGATATCTATTATTTATTTTGTTGTCTTTGTATTTTTGCGTATGCTATGACTATTATTGATCACTGCGGTGTACAGCGGAGAAGTTTTTTTTTTCTTCGAAGAAGAATGAAATGAAACGTAAAAAAAACTGATAATTAAAGACAAAGCAGAATAAAGACAACAAAAAACGTAAAGAAAGCGAATAGAAATAAAGGCGAATAGAAATAAAGGCGAATACCACACAAATTGTGTAAAACAATGCAAGAAAAGCTAACATATGCAGAGAAATAAAAAAAAAAGCGTCACCTTTAATAAAGTAATACATATGAAGCTAGCAAGGGGAAAAAGTTCGTTAGTGTAGCGTTTCGGATCGTCAGTCAAGTATCTACAAGTACTTACAGATTTCTTCAAGAATTATTAATGTTACTGCCGGTGCCATAGGCCGATTTTGGAAAACAAGTATTTGGAAAGTATTTACGTTGTTTGATTTAGTTTGATTTCGTATATTTTGTTTTACGGCATATCAAAACCCCAATGAGTTATTTAATGCCTACAACATTTTTTAGGATAGGGTCGTATGAATAGAATATTTATTCTTTGTAAGAAATCAGTTTGTAGATCCGCTTTCATTGACGTATTTTTGGTTTTGGTTTATTTTGTTTTACGGCATATCAACACCTCAATTGGGAAATTTAATGCCAACAAGTTTTTTCGTATGAATAGAATATTCTTTGTAAGAAATAAGTTTGCATATGAGGTTTTATTGACGTATTTTTGTAAACATGTTTATCGTCGAGAGACAACTCTATTACTGGCAACATTTTTTTTTTTTTCAAAAATGCATTTCTAGTATTTGTCTGTAAAAAACATATTCATGTTTTCGTAATATTTTGACCCCAGTTTGGGGGTTAAATATTTGCCCATATCTGGGACACTTACAGGTTCAACTTCCCCGGATCAGGGTGAAACAGAGAAGAAAAGAAGTTAAAGTTCCACGCTCCTAAAAAAAAAACACCCGATCAGATGACTTTCCGACAGATGCAGTTTATCGTCAAACTTGGACGTAATTACATTGTACCAGATAGAATAGTTTAAACTCATTTAAACCAGCTACTCTTCCCATAAAATGAGCAGAGGTTTTGCTTCGGAATAACGCTTTGTTTAGCGATTGAACTAGGAAATTGTAAACCCTTTTGGAAATAAGAAATCTGTTGGTTTCTTGCATAACGTTCTGTAGATGGACAATTATAACCGAAAGGTTTTGTATTATCTACCCTCCGCTATTATATAATGCGATTATATATATATAAAATATATAATATATATATATATATATATATATATATATATATATATATATATATATATATATATGTATATATATATAAAATGTAATGAGAACGAAAAGAAAGTATATTCAAACGTTTATTAATGTAAAAGAGAGAGCTGAATACAAAATGTATAGCAATAGTTATTTATTATATGTTATTAAATAAGAACATGCAAGTAATCCCTACAAAGATGCATATTTGTTTCGATGCCTAATATAAGCATCTCATCAGATGGTTATAAAATCGTTTATAACCATCTTTATAATACATACATATATATATATATATATATATATATATATATATATATATACATAGTCTGTTTTTAAGGTAACACTGCTCATCAATGTGTCTATAGATAGATAGATAGATAGATGTAAACGTAGATAGATAGATAGATAGATAGATAGATAGATGTAAACATAGATAGATATAAACATAGATAGATAGATAGATAGACGTAAACATAGATAGATAGATAGATAGATAGATAGATAGATAGATAGATAGATAGATGTAAACATAGATAGATAGATAGATTGATAGATAGATAGATAGATAGATAGATAGATAGATAGATAGATAGATAGATAGATGTAAACGTAGATAGATAGATAGATAGATAGATAGATAGATAGATAGATAGATAGATAGATGCATGCTTTTGTGTGTCAGACGCTAAACAGAGGGCAAAAGATTTCATATGTTAGGGGATTGAGGCTGCTGATAATCCTTTCAAACTGACTAGAAAGGCATGAATCCATTTACCCTAGCCCGCTGTTACGTTCCAAACTGTTTTGATACGTTGTTTCGTCGCTGGTATGCCAAGACATTTAAATAAAAGTCCTTGTGCTGGGTCTGCTTAGCATAACCATTTCCTTTTCCAGTTGTATGGAAGCAAAAAACATTTTTCCCATACCCAGCTGTGTCGTCTACACCATCCCCCCAGCAACACACAATTTGATCTTTGTCGCTCAGAAATACGAGATATATTCAATGACTCAAACAAACAAAGACATTTATTAGTAGGCATACAAACGTAATTCCTCCTGCCCACATCATTCGATTCGCTATCATCCCTTGCCTGCAGTCACTTTCTCACTGCTTTTCCAGTCAGCCACCCTCGCCGGTTCAATATGCCAGCGAGTAACGTCCGTAATTGATTTCCCTACAAAAGTGTGAGCGCTCCAATAGACAGAGAAATGAGGAGTGATGAATTTTTCATTAACTTCGTTCGCCATCTTTGCTGCCCGGAAGTGAAGAGGCAAGCGATAATGACTGGCGCGCAAATTTCTTCATTAGAGACGCTGACTGATGACACCGACGCAGTCTCATTTTTGTCGCGCCTCACCGAGCATGCGCGGACACCACCACGTCGAATGAAGTCTTTTTTTTTTTATTTAGCATTTTTTTCTTTCTCTTTCTCTCTTTCTCTCTCTCTCTCTCTCTCTATTTCTCTCTTTCGTTCTCCCACATACATTTTCACATTTGTCCAATATTTCTTGGAATTTTATTTCTATCTGTGATTTCTTCTTCTTTTTATTTTTCATTCTTCATCTTTTTTTGCCTTAAGGTTTTTTGGGGTTTTATTTTATTCACTTATACAACTCAGAATTTATCTATGTTTAGTTGAATTATTTCTATTTTTCCTTTCATATTTTATTTTAATTCGTGAATCATTTCTTAAACTTTGGCAATTTTTCTTCACTTTTATCTTTTACATCTTCCATTTCCTTGTGCTGTGTCCTTCAGAAATTTGGCGGTCATGGCTCTCCACAATTTCCTATCCTATGTAGCGCTTCGTAAATATTTTCTAAACATTTTTCCGCCATCATACTCAAGCTCATTCTTCTTCTTCTTCTTCTTCTTCTTCTTTTACCGTGTCACCTCAGTACGTTGGTGATCACGGCTCTCCACAACTTCCTGTCCTATGAAGCTTTTCATAAGTTTTATCCTTTTGTTATCTCTCCTAAACCTTGTTCCGCCATCTATTTTTTCAAGCTTCATTCTTCTTCTTCTTCTTCTTCTTCTTCTTCTTCTTCTTCTATGTGCCGTTTCCCTTCAGGACGTTGGTGATCGTGGCTCTCCACAATCTCCTGTCCTATGTAGCTCTTCATTAATTTTATCTTTTGTTATCTCTCCTAAATTTGTTCCGTCATCCATTTATTCAAGCTTTCTATGCAGGTTATAAATTGTTTTTTCCTAGCCTCCAATCTGTCCTGTGAGTATCAAATTTTCTAAGCCCTCTTTCCAACCGACATCTAGTGTTGAAACGATGAGCTTCATCTACAAGTGCTTCCCGATGTACCAGTTTAGATGCAATTTCTATCATTGTGACAGGGGTGTGGTGTCAGTCAATCCAGATGACCTTCAGCAAATTTCGAACTGAAGGCTTTAATTTACTCTACGGAGGTAGATTTTCCGTTGGGGCCAGGGTGCCTGCTGTTTGGCTCGCAATTGTGAAATTTTCTGTCTTCGGGAAGATAACGACTTAGTTGGGGCTGTTAGAATTTTGGGGTATTATGTACTAGTGAGCCAACCAAGATGAGCTGACTCATTTTATAGTCCACTAATAGAAAGGTTAACCAATCAGAAAGCTCAAAATATTCAATCCGAGGCAGCCATTTTGTTTTTTCTCCCAAAATATCTTCACTGCCAACCTTATATTGAAGACTTAAAGAATTAACAGCCGCCACTTTCTCCTAATCTACACTGCCAACCTCTGATATTGAAGAGATTATGGACTTCACTGGATTCCATATTCAGAGACTACGACAAATATGGTCAACAGGGGCTCTGTTTCCGGACGGAGAATCGGATAAGCAAGTTAGACAATGCAAAGTGTCCTATCCCACGGTTGCGAAGGCTGGGTAAATTTTGACCATTGTTCCGAATATACGCCTTTAGGTTCCCCACACTACCTTCGACCGTCTGACAGAGGAGAGACTGGGTAAATGCCCCCATCTCGCCTTTTTTTATCTCGTTTTTTCTCGTTTTTATTGCTGCTCAGTTTTAGCTAGTCACGTTTCCACTGAGTCTCACTCTGTATTACCCGACCCAGGTATTGAACTCACAATTACTTGGTCACCAAATTTTCGAACTAATTCTTCAGCTCGAAGTTCCTTGATGGCTATCCGGATCGGCAGACACCTGAAGAAGGCCAAGGCTTAACACCCGCCGAATCGTTGTAAATATAACAAGAAATATAAAGACATCTGTTCAACAGTAAATATTGTAAATAATAAATCAGATACTCAGACAGATAATGAATGATTATTGTTTAGTTTTATCAAAATATTTGTCTTTCGAACGATGTACCGTTTTGATGACGCATTTTTTGAAAATCACTGCTCTAAGACAAATTCTAGTTTTTGCTTATACCATTTATCTGCATGTTCAATTCCAACTACTTTGCACAATTCCATGTGCATCACCCTTCCTGCCCAGTCATATATACCTTCTGAGCTAACGTCTACATTCATTTATGATGTGCTTGACAGGTTCCCCTGTGTCTCCTCGCATATGGCTTTTTTTTGTTTTGTGATAAATGCATACATATAGGTGAAAATTATATATAACTTGATATATATATATATATATATATATATATATATATATATATATATATATACCATAACAAATTTAGGAAAACTAATGACAAAATGGCGAAAGAAATATTCTTGCGACGCGTTCTGGCCATTAGAACTTCATAGGACTAAATTAAAATTTGTTTAACCTTTGTCTGCTGGATCAATTTCAAGTACATCACCGATCCTGCCCAATCGCATGTATATTCTGAGCTAATTGCTACATTCATTTGACAGATTCCCCATTTATTTATTATTTGTTTGGATGTTCAATTCCAACTACTTTGCACAATTACAAGTGCATCGCCGTCCCTGCCCAGTCGTATATGCCTTCTGAGCGAACTTTATCGGACTAAAGAAAAATTCTACAGTTCAAAATTTCAGCGTATCCTTCTTTTCGTGTGAAGTGCATAGATCACACAACCACGAGTCCCATAAACCATCAGGGTTTAAGGGGTAGCCCATGAAATGCAACCGTCGTAGTAGCGGTATGTCTTGGGCAAGAAAGCCTGATGGAGTCCAAGCATCTCCAGGCTATCTTGAATTCCGAGTTTTGCTTCTAGACTAGTCGGCAACCAGGGCTATTGAATCCGGTCTCTCTTGCTATATACCCATAGATAGAGATCGATTCATACGTTTTACTTAAGGGAATGTAATGATCTCCACTGGAACTCGGCTCTCCGATTACTCAATCCGAGCCGCTATCCATTCATCATCATCATCCTCTTGATCTTTGTAATCGTAGGGGGAGTGATCCGAATGCAGAAGCCATATTGGATCTCCTCTACAATGGCCTATCAACGGCAGCCATCAGCAATTCTGGTCTAGTCATACTAGTCCGTTGTTTGACATTGTCCAACCAGTTTTTGCATTGGCCTCCTCTCCTACGTCCACCTTCAAGGGTACCCTGCATGATAGCCTTGCACAAGCTATATCCATGACGTAGACGTAAACAACACTTTTGCCTGGTGAAGTCCTGAGGACCAAACGCGTCACACGAGTCTTTTTTCAATGTGCCATTAATTCGCTTTCACACACACGCACACACACACACACACGCGCGCACACGCACGCACACACACACACACACACAACATATAAAAAACATTTTTTATGTTTATACATTCTTTTATAGATACAAATATTTAAAGTAAATGTCTGTTTATAATAAACAGTATTAAACAACATTTACCGGTCTGAATGTCCGAGAAACCTGTATCCTATACGTCAGGCTATATGACGCTTCAGGATACAGGTTCAATTCCTGTCGGAGGATGAATGTTTTCTATGAAAATTTCTCGGACATTCAGGTCGGTAAACGTCATTTAATATTTATTATAAAACAGAGCATTTACTTAAATATTTGTATCTATAAAAATAATGTATAAACATAAAAATGTCTTAAAATATATTTATATATTTATCATGAACGATTATAAAAAAAAAATTTAACGTTGCTACACAAAAGCTTCAGTACTATGTTTATATTTCGTCAGGCGATGCTAGATAACTTGTGATAAAAATGATTTATTAGTGAAATTTAATTTAATTAATTCAATTTAACTTAATTCTAACCTTATGCACCCCTTTAACTTTCGAAAAGAAGTAACAATTTGGTTTTAAATAAATCAATTTTTATCACATTTTATCTACCATCGCTTGTATTGAAACATGAAAGCTTTTATGTATCAATGTAAAATGGTTTTATTATAATCATTTATAATAAAATATTATAATATTTTGTTCTACTTTGTATTGAGCACTTTAAAAAAAAAATAGTTGCTGCGAACTGTGGACTTTTACTCCATCTGTTCTGCCTCTTATTTGCATATATATATATATATATATATATATATATATATATATATATATATATATATATATGTATGTGTGTGTGTGTTTGTGTGTGTGAGTGTGCGTTTCCATATCATTCGTTCTGTTCTAAAAGCATAGCCATGTCAACAACAATTACCAATTATCATTACTTTTCTTTGTTGCTGTATTTGAAAATATTCATATGTCAATTCCATTTATTCAAAGACCAATCAGAATTTATGTGCCTTTATTAGCATCAAAATTATGTTTATTCAATGTTTAAGATTTTTCTGCATCATTTATTGAATATTAGATTTAATTTTCTATGAATTGTCAATTTTAAATAAAAACGACCGATACAATGCATCCAATGCCGGAAGAAAAGCAACCATTTTGAAATTTATGTAATATGTGATATAAATTTATTTTTACTCCATAATGCGCCTCGTGTAACGGAAATATCTCATCGTATTTGGATTGAAATACTCAAAATATTGTTCATATAGCCTTTATTGTTTATATAGCTTCTATTGTGTATGTAGCTTCTATAGTTTATATAGCTTCTCTTGTTTATATGGCATCTTCAAACAGAGAAGCTACTATAATTGAATAACAAGCATGTTCAATTTACAATATGTTTAAAATAAGTAGGTATTTCTGTTACTTTTGTTATGATTATTAAAACGTATTACAATAATTCAAATACCGTTTTATAAGGTTTAATTGGAAAAAAAACAGAACTAGAATATACTTATCATTATTTAATGCAGGATTTGGAACTTTTTCTTCTTTTTTTTTAAAGTAAATCAGCCCAAGCAAGGCGGGAGTGCCTCTAGCATGCAAGGGGTTACAGAGAGTGAGATTAAGAGTAAAGAGGGGTGTTTGAGGAAAGGATAAAGAGAAGGACAGAGATTAAGATCAAGGCATCAGAAGATTTAGATTGATATTACATATGAATATTTGTAGATTATAGATATCAGGGGGGCAGTGATAGGAATATATATATATATATATATATATATATATATATATATATATATATATATAGTATAGTCTGAGGCTTATATTTTATATCATCATGAAACAATTTGTACAAAGAATTAAATTTAATTAAATCGCAATGTTAATGCTATTAATGGCGAAATTACTTCACCAACAAGACTTAATAAGACATTAATTTGCTATCAGTTCCTTGAATAATAATATTTTTATATTTGAGTTGATGTTAGAGGGAAGTGACATGCCAAATACTTTCGACAATTTCAAATAGCCATCTTCAGGGTAGAATTTACCAATGCATAGGCAAGTACTAAGACGATAGTGTTTGATATAAGATATCATGCAATAACATATGTTAAGATAGTGTTTGCCTATGTATGGGAGAATTGTGACCTGAAGATGACAATTTGAAATTGTCGAAAGTACTTGGCAAGTGTCCTCCATCTGACAAATCGACTATAAGGATCTTATTACTTAAGGAATTGATAGTGAGTTAATGTCTCATTAAGTCTTGTTAGCGAAGTGATTTCGCCATTAATGACATTAACATTGCTATGTAATTATTTGTATTAATTGTTTCTTTATATATATATATATATATATATATATATATATATATATATATATATATATATATATATATAATCCTCCCATAAAACTAAGATTTTTAGATCCAGTTTCCTATTGTAAACATTTGGTTTCTATTTTAAATATACATTTCTTGGGCTGTTCATTTATACTTATTTTTGGGAATGAGACCGTTAAATTATTTTCGCATATAGAATTATATAAAAGTTTTAGAAGATAATGTTTCGAAAAAAATCTATAAGATGAAGATTTATTTTGAAAATTAAGAGCATTAAAAAGATTGTAAACATGATACAGCTCAACTCGATAGCATTCTCATAGACCGAGGCTAAGAAATACTTATCTTGGGGAATGAGGCCTCCAGACATTCCACATCTTAGATTTATATAAGAGTTTTAGAAGCTAATATTTCCAGATAAAAAAAGACACGAGAAATAGTCGAGATTTGTTTTGAAAATTAATCACAGCAGTTTATAAAAATGATACAGTTCATCTTCATAGCATTCTCACAGATTGAAACAAAAAAGACAAATTTGAACTCTTTTTCAGTTCTAACTAAACGTGATTCCCTTATCCAGCCTCATGGATGCAGGAGTAACTGGTGGTTTATATTGTATATTAACTGACAATTCTACAGGATGTTTCGATAAAACAGAAAGAAAAAGAAAACGAGAATGAAGTTTTCTGATTTATCATGAAAATGATAGGTAGCAGCGATTTTAAACAAATGGTACAGTTCAATAGTATTGTCATAGATTTTGTCTTCTCTTAAGCTTTTAGTTCCAACCGTATATGGGGGTGAGGGGATAAAACCTCTTAGCATCCTCTATGATGGCGTAGGCGATCCTTTTCAAAATAATCTCTAATACCCTCTTTTGGTATACTTACCAATTGCCTAGTCACATTTTATATTTAAATCTCGTTTACGGTGATAATACAACATTTAATTTTTTTGTTTTTTATTTATAAAATGTCAAAAATGCAAAATGGGTGCTATATCTAGACAGTAATAAGTGTTTCTGAAGGAAATTGTTAGATCGGACCCCCTATCACCCCACAAAAAAAATACAATAGAGAAGACCTGTCTATATTTCTGAGATGAGGTATTGTAATTATTTACACTATTTACATTGTTCGGATTATTGCCTAATCTTTATTGCCATATTCTCGACGTTTCGACTACTCTACGCTCCGGTCTTCTTCAGCAGCAGTCTATATTTCTGAGATGAGGTATTGTAATTATTTACACTATTTACATTGTTCGGATTTTTGCCTAATCTTTATTGCCATATTCTCGACGTTTCAACTACTCTACGCCCCGGTCTTCTTCAGTACCTGTCTATATTTCTGAGATCAGGTATTGCAATTATTTACACTATTTACATTGTTCGGATTATTGCTTAATCTTTATTGCCATATTCTCGATGTTTCGACCTTTCTACCCTGCTGTCTTCTTCAGTACCTGTCTATATTTCTGTGATGAGGTATTGTAATTATATACACTATTTACAATGTTCCTGTTGTCCTCATCTTTCTTGACATATTTTCGACGTTGAGGACCCATAGCTCTGTGGAGAAAACCGTTGGTTGAAATAATCCAGTGACTTCACCCAAAGAGTTGTGAGTTCAATACCTGGCAACAGTCGACGTGAAGAAAATCTGAGAGGGAAATAACTGATATTGAAATATCCGGAAGTGGCAATGAAACTAGAAAAATCTACCCTGGTGGTCAAAGTAAAGGGTTCGTTTCGAGAATCTAATCATCCGAAGAATATCGTGAATATGGCAACCAAAATAAAGAGAACGGTCCAAACAAAGTAAATGGTGTAAATAATTCAGAAGAACGAGATGGGAAACTTCTAGGTATGAAATCCGTAGTCATAATTGGGAAGGACCGTTTGGTACCACGACGCGATGTAATGGTTAACAAGGTCATCTCGCTAGAACCATTAAAACTAAGGAGTGAGCTCGATCCTCACTGGGTGCCTCATACATTCAGTCCTGTGCGCATAGAAAATTGTCAAACGCTAGAAAAGAACATTCTGTGATTCGTTGCCAATTTGCATCATGGCGACGTCGTCGGCTCTTGAAATTATTAAATGGTCGTCTGCGTTCTGAATATTTTGAATAATCTATGCTTAGAATAAAAGCTCGTAATTTTGAATAGGTCAGTAAAAGTATTTGGTGTACTTATTATATTAAATGGACTTTAAAAGAAAAAAAAAAACAAAACAAAACAAAAGAAGAAACATTGCCTGCGTGACGTGTCAAGATGGCTGCGTGCGAAAGATTCAATGAAATTATGAAGTTATATGTCGCACATATAGACAAATCGTACCTTCTTGAGATTTGTTGAATATTACCTTCTCTCTTTTGAAATATCTTCTTTCAGCGCAGAGCACAGATCCGCCGGTAGGTGGTGTTACCGAACAATACAATCAAACCCTATCAATTACCTCATCAAGTAACACAGAAGGAACTACGACAATTTTAAAAAGTAGCACATTGCCAACGACGACGACGACAACAACTACAACAAAACTGCCAACAACGACCGTACAACCAACTACTGCTGCTCCTCCTCCTCCAACAACGACAACATCAACAACTACTACTACTACTACAACGACTACTACAACATCAGTACCGTCGTCGTCCCGCCCGACGCTTACAAATCCAAAAACGACAACGCCACAGGCGAAAGCAGCAGCAGCAACAGCAGCAGCAGAAGCAAAACCAACGACATCGTCTGTCGCGACAACCACTGATCCTACTGTCACGACGACAACTCCTACCTTCTCCCCGCCGTTGCCACTGCCCTCGGCAACCGCGAAGCCACCGACATCGACGCGGCCAGTATCCACGGCGCAATCTGCAGCCTCTTTCGCTGCTGATGCCGTTGCTGCTGATACTATCACCACCTCACCTGAAAGTGCGGAAGAAAATTTCGACGGTTTGGAAGAAGTACCAGAAAACACAAACCCGGGGGCTGAACGGACTAAAAAACGTAAGTGACGTACCCGCACTCGCACAGCTACCCGAACTTTTGTAACCCTGGCTAAACTATCGACGGCACATGAACTTGAACGCCAAAACTCCTGAAAACCCGGCTGTTAAAGCATTTGTTGAAATAGCACGTCAATAATTGCACACTCCTTTCATTTGCACTTTGATAAATGACATCCTACCGGTATGATCACATCCCCTAACCACAGCTTGATCTAGCACAGGAAAGGAAGATTGTGTTGCACCAATGTACCAAGAAGAGAGGGATTGTCTATAATGGGTATTTGAATTCCTGGCTTTTAATATTACTGGTGACAAGTGATAAGAAATATGAAACTATATTTGCTTAGAAACTTACTCCTTAAAAGATATGTTGACACTTTGGTAAATATAAGTTGGTCGAAATGTCTCTACGGTGGGGTAGTGGATAGCGGCTCGGGTTGAAGAGTCGGAGAGCCGAGTTCGAATTCCAGTCGAATCCATTACATTTACTTACGTGCTAATATTCTTGGGATAGGTATAAATCTTCTTCGCACCCACACATTTATGGGTAAATAGCAGGACAGACGGGGTTCTATAGCCTTGGATTGCAACTGGTCTACCGCAGAAAGAAATAGCAACCTACTGCTGGAAAAAAAATCTGCCTCGTCAGACATGTATCGAAAGAAACATGATCGCCTAAGCGTGTATAAGCATGCAACATAACTGACTGATCTATCCATCTAAGTCCGTTCATATATTTATCTATATATTTCAGTACGTTCGTATCTATCTATCTATCCAAGTCCGTTTATATATTTATTTATCTATTTCAGTAAGTCCATGTATATATATATATATATATATATATATATATATATATATATATCCGTTCACATATTTATTTATCTATCTATCTATTTCAGTAAATTCAGATCTATCTATCTATCTATGGTGCACGTCTTCCACTCTTTACCCAAGTATCTTCACATCTCTCTCTCTCTATCTATCTATCTATCTATCCAAGTCAGTTCCTATATTTATCTATTTCGGTCTGTCCATATATAAATTTATTCTCAGTCATCAATCTGTCTGTATGTGTATTTTTGTGCGTATGTGTCATGGAGGCATTTTCCATTTCATAAGAAGGCGAGAAATGTAAACGAAATGGCGTTTGCCTTGACTGCAGAAAATTCACCGGAAATCGAAGCATCCAGATCGCATTCTCTCTCTCTCTCTCTCTCTCTCTCTCTCTCTCTTTGTTTCTGATTTGACGTGTTTCAGGCTGAACACTCTGGGAAAGGTGTGAATCCTCTTTTTCTCCCCGCTAGCTATGAGTAAAACAGGGTTCTATAGCCTTGGATGGCAACTGATCTACTGTAGAGAGAAAAGGCAAGTTAGAAAAAATCTGCATCGTCAGTCATGTATCGAAAGATACATGATCGCCTAAGCGTGTATCATGCATGGCACACAACTGATTGACTGACTAAACCTTGGGAAGGTATGAATTCTCTTCATCTCACCCGTCCAGCTATGGGTGAATAACATGACAGACCGCGTTCTATAGCCTTGGATGGCAACTGGTCTACCGCAGAAAGAAATGGCAACCTACTGCGGGGATCTGCTTTGTCAGTCATATATCGAAAGATACATGATCGCCTACATGTCCGGATTTATTTGTTAAATGCATTTTTTTTTTAGTTTTTGCTATCATATTCCATTGAGGTTTTCTTTTTCCCATTTATAATATTGTTGGTATGTGGCTAAGAGACGCATGAACCCTGTTTAAAATATCAGACAAAAGAAACTGTAAATATTACTCATACACACACACACACACACACACACACACACACACACATATATATATATATATATATATATATATATATATATATATAAAAGGGTGTCCATGAAGATCGTATGCACTTTAAATTATTACATTTTTTAAAGTGCACACGAACTTTATGGACACCCTGTATATATATATATATATATATATATATATATATAAAAGTGACCATTGAAATCAATACACGGAGGCGACAGGCTGTTTAATGCTAGACGCTAATGTCAGACATGACGATCACGTCTAGTATGAAACAGCCTGTCACCTCCGTGTATTGATTTCAATGCTCACTTTATATTTACATACGCTCTATCTCTGATATTGAGCACTTTATCCCTTAAATATAGCACACTTTAAAACTATATTTCCTCATATATATATATATATATATATATATATATATATATATATATATATATATCAAACAGGCAGAAGAACTTTGACACACGTTGCTTCCATTTTGTTTTGATATTGCATCATGTTATTATTTTCATAGATTCGAATTCTTCAAATAAGCTTTAATCTTGTTAATTTGTTTCGATATCAACAAGAACTAGGATCAATGTACTGGCTCCTCGGGTAGCTGCTCGAGACGCCATCAGGGCCTTGAGTACCCCCATGTTATATATTTGGGATCTTAACAGAACTAAAGCTTATAAAAACAAACTTCCGGTCATCTATGACTTACGACAGATTAAATTCTTTGGCTATTTTTTGAATTGGTAAATAATCTAGTCGAGGAGATAAGTGCAGAAAATGCCATGAAAAGATTTACTGATCTAGAAGATTTTTAGGTAGGATAATGAATGTTTTCTTTAGCTTGTATTAAATTGTATATTGTAATAAACTCAGCTTTTACAAACCAGTTTTTCTCCTTGTGAAAAATTATACTTGTAAGGAAGCTAAAGTTCAGCTTTCCCGAGCTTTCAGCAACCCTAGGACAAAAAATTGTCTTTGAAAATCGACTTAAGTTAGTTTTAGTAGGTGTTATGAATAATCAAGAGTGGTCTCCCATTGTTTTGTTACTCTCCTCTTTGAGAGAGCTATTTATATTTACTGGGACTATAAAAGGACACTATACGCAAACGTTGTATTCTCGGTTGAGTAAATCATTCTTAAAGCCTACACCTGGGTCCTTTTGTCATTACAGTAGGTTCGAAAATATTTTCCTAATTTCTAAATTCTTCCAAAGCTGCCTGAAGGTCCTTTTTTTTATTTTTCATATGCCGTATCTCTTCAGGACTCTCCAAAAATGTCCTTTTCTTTTGTTGCCGTTTTTATTCTACCCATCCATTTTCATAAGCTTGTTAAGTACGCTATTCAACCGGCGGTCTTTTTTTTCCAGGTTAAAGATGACTTGGTAGATGCGTATCTTTGCTTGCCAGAGAGCTTTTTAATTTTTTTTTACTTTGTTGCCGTTTAGCCTGTCACTGGTTTTATTCTTCTTCAGGATGTGAGAAATATGACTCTCCACAACTTCCTAAACCTTTGTAGCTCTTTTTAGATGTTGTCTTTTCACCACCCCCTCCAACCCGCTGCTCTGACATCCATTTACACAAGCTTTTTAGGTATGTTATTCGCTGTTTCCCTCTGACATTCTTGGTTTCAATATGTTCTGTGAGTGTCAAATTCTCCAACCCCTCTTTCCTCATTATGTGGCACAGAAATGTTGAATGTCTCTTCCGGATTGTAAGTATAAGTGACCTCTTTGTTTTCATTTTTCTTCAAACGTCATCGTTGCTTACACGTTCTGTCAATAAAAGTATCCTTCCGGAGAACCATATCGCTGTGGCCTCAAGTCATTTCTTCATTTTTCGAATATTCATTGACGTTTGGGAGGATTGCCATTACGTAACAGGTCAGGACACTTTTCTTTATTTCTAACAAAATTTCCTTGTTTAATTTTCTTTTGGAAGGCATCTTTCGATATTCCACAGTGACATCGGATTTAGACGTCACATTTTCCGTCCGTTGGGTAAAACCCAACCTAGATATTTAAATGTTCGATTGATATTGCTATCTCCAACCCGCAGTCCCCATCTTGTGATGTTCCTCTTGGTGGCAATCATAGATTCTGTCTATTGGTGGTAATCCTTTCTTCTTGGTTTTCTTTACTACCAAGTTTAGGATTTCCTGCAGTTTCTTTTGTGTCTGCTATGAACACTGTGCCATCTGCATATTTAATGACGCTAGAAATGAGGTTACAGGCAGTAAAAGCAAAATATAATAAGGAAGATTAAAAATGGGGTGGACTGAGGAAAAGGGTTAAAGGAACAAGATTCAAGCAGACAGAAGATCGCTATTGACGTTGCCTTTAAAATTTTAAAGATTGTAGTTAACAAGTAAGCAAGAAATCGGAAATTAGATGTATCTAGATAGTTCCACGGTAAAACGATGAGACCTAACTGCCAATCTAGTAGAAGTCTTAAATTCATGTAGTCGGGACACCAGGAAAAAACCTCATCTTAGTCGATGCTATGAGAATATTTATAGAGCAGAGGGAAGCCATGTCACGTCGGCGAGAAAGCGGCTATAGGCGTGATGCCTGGTCAGGACTGATTCTATTGGAAACTGTTCCAGAATATTGAAATACCCAGCAAGAGAACTTAACCTGATATGGCAACAGTGTTCAATACACGGGCGAATGGTAGATTTATAAACGTGCATGATGGATTCATTGGAGGACAATCGTGGCAGCTTATAGTGGTAACTGGTTTTGTTAGCGTGCTTGCTCTAAAAGAGCCGGGCTTTTAAATTCTTACACATTAAAATGTATCAGGATTCAAAAGTCCGACGTTTTCAAAGAGGAACTATTTAATGTGGAGGATTTTTTTTCTCAGATTCGAGAGCGAAAATATAAGTGTTTGTACATTGATTTGAGCTGAACAGTAAAACGTTCGTCAAATGATCCTGTTTACTCTTGATCGTTGACATGGAGAAAGAAACCGTCAACATTCCCGCCAATCGGGCTGATTTTATTGCTTATTTCCAGGCCAATTCGTTTTTGTTTTTTGTTTGTTTTTTTTTTGTTAGCCTTTTTTTGTTTTCATTAATTAATTTCTTTAATTACAGTTATTTCTTTTTCTTTCTTTTTTTCTTTTCTTTTTTCTTTTCTTTTCTTTTTTCTTTTCTTTCCTTTTTTCTTTTCTTTTCTTTTCTTTCTTTGCTTTTTCCGTTCTTTTCTTTTCTTTTCTTTCTTTTTCTTCTCTTTTCTTTTTTCTTTTTTTCTCTTTTTTCTTTTCTTTTCTTTTTTCTTTTCTTTTCTTCCTTTTTTCTTCTCTTTTCTTTATTTTTCTTTTCTCCTCTTTTTCTTTTCTTTCTTTTTTTCTTTTTTCTTTTCTTTTCTTCTCTTTTTTTCTTTTCTTTTCTTCTCTTTTTTCTTTTCTTTTTTTTTTTTTTTTCTTTCTTTGCTTTTTTCTTTTCTTTTTTACTTTTCCTTTTCGTCATTTTTCTTTTCTTTTATTTTGTTTTCTTTGTTCTTTTCATTTCTTTTTCTCGTTTTTGTTTTCAGAAATGAACTTATGTCTTTGTGAAATTCTTTTTTGTCGGCTTTTTTTTATTTCGCCTTGAATTTGTACTTAACATTCTTTCATTTTTCCTTTGTTTCATTTTCGATTTCTTTCTTTATTTTTCTTTCATTTTTTCTATTTTATTTCTTCCATTAAATTTCTTTGTCTTTCTTTCATTCACATGTTCGTTTCTTCTTTGCCCGACTTGTTTTTTTTTCCTTCCTCCCTAATTTCTTTTTCCTTTATTGATTGTAAACTACATTTCTTGTTTATTAACAGGTTTTTGCCTTCTTTCTTTCTTTCTTTCTTTCTTTCTTTATTTATTTATTTATTTATTTATTTATTTCTCCATTGGATAGCATTTTTGCCACCACAGTCAGTTCTTTCTTTCTTTCTTTTCTTTTCCTTTCTTTCTTTCTTTCTTTCTTTCTTTTCGTTAACGTTTTGATCACCGTTTTTTTCTTTCTTTCTCTTTTTCGTTAACGTTTTTCTTCTTTCTTTCTTTTCTTTCTTTCATTCTTTCTTTCTTTCTTTCTTTTCTTTCTTTATCATTCTTTTTTTCTTCTTTCTTTCTTTCTTTCTTCGCCCTATCATTCTTTCTTTCTTTCTTTCTCTTTTCGTTAACGTTTTGATCACCGTGAGTTTCTTTCTTTCTTTCTTTCTTTCTTTCTTTCTTTCTTTCTTTCTTTCTTTCTTTCTTTCTTTCTTTCTTTCTTTCTCTTTTCGTTAACGTTTTGATCACCGTGAGTTTCTTTCTTTCTTTCTTTCTTTCTTTCTTTCTTCGCCCTATCATTCTTTCTTTTCTTTCTTTCTTTTTCGTTAACGTTTTGATCACCGTGAGTTTTTTCTTTTCTTTTCTTTATTTTTTTTTTCGTTTCATTCATTTCATTCTTTCTTTCTTTTAACGTTTTTCTTCATTCCGTTTTTACCATCACAGTTTTTTTTCTTTTTTTTCGTTCATTCATTCTTTCTTTTTCTTTTCTTTTTTTTTGGTCATCCCAGTTTTTACCTTCTTTCTTTCTTTTTCTTTCTTTCTTTCTTTCTTTTCTTTTCTTTCTTTCTTTCTTTCTATTTCTCCATTCGATAACGTTTTTCCCTGTCCGACCATTATTTTCCCGTGGCTATCGTTCCACGCGGTCATCCATTAATCCAATCCTTACCGGACATTCCCGAAGCACAGATTGCTTTAGGAGAGCTTGAGGACGCAAAAGGATTTCTGGGATTTTTTTTTTCTTTATTTCTATCACCACGTTCCTCGTCTCCCTCGTCTCCACTCGCCATGCTTCGCATTCATTTCCGTTTCAAAATGGCGTCAATATTATCAATGTTGGTGACCAACTAGAATCGAACAGCATATTGCTGCCAAAGACCGTTTGTAATGTGATTACAGAATGAATTTCAAATTCCCAGACCTCTACATTGTTATTATTATTATTATTATCATTATTATTATTATTAGTAGTAGTAGTAGTAGTAGTAGTAGTAGTAGTATTAGTAGTAGTAGTTATATTAGTAGTAATACTGATACTACTAAGAATGCAATCATCATTGCTTTACGCTCAAAGCAATATAGTGAGATTGCATGCACTTGTTTGGTATTTATCGTCAATATTATTATTTTAATTATAGCTACAGTTATTTTTTAAAGTTTTCAAAACATCGGCAATCATGGCTCTCCATTTTATTTATTATCTGTGAATTGATATGACTTTGGAAAAATGGCGGAGTGGTTAGCCGTGGCTTGGGATTCATTTTCCTTCCTTTAGACTGGCTGGCATCCAAGGCACAAGTGCCAATAGGCTGAGGAACACTATTATTTTTTCATATATCTCACTTATATTACGTTTCTACGCCTTCGAATGTAAATAAAACATTTTGGGTTTTCAGAATATCGGAGATCACGTTATTTCTCTTTGAGTGCCAAACGCCACTTTTGTTGTTGTTGTTGTTTTTAATCATCATCATCATCATCATCATCATCATCATCATCATCATCATCATCATCGTCGTCGTCGTCATCATCCTCTTCTTCTTCTTCTTCTTCTTCTCATTATTATTATTATTATTATTATTATTATTATTATTATTATTATTATTATTATTCACGTTGTTATTCTTATTGTTGCAATACGTAGAGAAGACCGGGATTGAAGGAAAGAAAAAATTAATAACAGCGTGTATAACAATATTTCGACAGTATGGCTGCCTTCTTCAAGTTATGCTTAAAAATTGCATACCAATATAAAAATATTTAAAAAAAACAAAAACAACAATTCTTTGTACAAAATACGTCACTTGAATGAAATAGTACACTGGTAATTAACGCAACAAAGCAAATGAAACGTGATTGCAACGTCACGTTGGGGAACAAATATACTAACATTTATATATGCCTATTATTATTATTATTATTATTATTATTAATATTATTATTATTATTGTTGATGTTGTTATTGCCGTTCTTGTTATTGTTCCAAAGCCTAGACAAGTGCGCAATTTAAGAAAAGTAACAAAACGCAGTGTTTAATAATGTCCAACAATATTTCGACAGTATGTCTGTCTTCATCAGTTCATGTTTAAATCTTGTATATTAGTATTGTTGCGGGAGTATGCTGGCCAAGTGTTTAGGTGGGAAACACGTGTCTCCTGGTATATTTATCCCACAAAAAAAAATGGCGGACTCGGTATGTGATATATGTCAAAAATGACAAAATAACAAGAAAACTATGTAAAAAACAAACGATAAGTGTGTATTAAAAAAAAAAAAGAAGAGTATATATAGACAATATAATATTGTTGTGGGTTACAAATCAACATGAATTGAGAAATCATTTAAACTCGTGAATTGTTTGTGTGTGTGTATGAAGTTGTGTAGAACGAGTCCAAGAGAATAGTAATCGAAATGGAAGAGGTAGGTGCTGGTGTGCGTGCGTATGTGCGGGAGCGTGTGTGACGCACGCGCTTACACGAGGTGGGTCGCATTTCTCCACGTGGCGACCTACATCTTACCGTCCCTAGCTGAATTAGGAAAGATAGAATGCCAGAGAAAATTACTACCTATTTAGAGACTTAAGGAGCGTCCCCTAGCGACGTCTTTTCAGGAAAGTAAGTGGGGGCAACTTCATAGTATAAAAATATATTTTTATATGCAATTTTTAAACATAAAAGAGATATAGATTAGTTTGTACATCAGGTGCAATATCTATCTATCTATCTATCTATCTATCTATCTATCTATCATAGTCTGATTGTCTCAATATGTTCGAATTTTCTTTTTGACAGTCAAAGGAGTTTTTAATAAATAAACAGAGCCCCTACTCAAATATGAGTACCCAGTAAAAATAATATATATATATATATATATATATATATATATATATATATGAAGAAATATAGTCTTAAGGTGTGCTATATTTATAGGATAAAGTCCTCAATATCAGAGATAGAGCGTGTGTAAATATAAAAGTGAACATAGAAGTCAACACTTAGAGGTGACAGACTGTTTCATGCTAGATGCAATCGTCAGGCCCAAACACTAATATTCCATGGTTATAATTTATTACATTGGAATCGTAATAACGATCCAATTCATCAGACCTATAAATTCAATTCTTTTTTTAAATTTGTAGGCCTGATGAATTGGATCGTGATTACGATTCCAATGTAATAAATTATAACCATGGAATATTAGTGTTTGAGTTTATATTATATTCTTGCTCTGTCCTGGACATTGAGTTCTACCTGGATGTTATCCTCTTGGAATATATATATATATATATATATATATATATATATAATATAATATTAATAATATATATATATATATATATATATATATATATATATATATATATATATATATATATATATATATATGGGGGACACGATGGCGAATGGTTAGAACTTCAGTTTCAGACCATGAGGTCCGGGATCGAATCTCACCACGGTTGACTTCTTAGTGCTATCGGCCTACAGGGAAAGTGGCTGACAATTGCCTGAAACCTATACCAGGGTTTAATTCGAGAATGAAATTGGGCCGTCGATATAATACGAAGTCACAAGACATCTAGAAAACACGCTCTCTCCCAGAAACTGTAACTAAGGTCTGCTCAGCATGGCCTGAGCGAGTAGACAGTATCCTCGAATATGAGTGGCCAGCTGTTATTTGATATATATATATATATATATATATATATATATATATATATATATATATATATATATATATTGGTACACGTATGAGGTTGATATGCCGTAAAAAAAAAAAACCAAACCAGCGATTAAAATCTTGATGGCATTAAATAACCCATTGAGGTTGATATGACGTAAAACAAAACAAACCAAACCAAACCAGCAATAAAAATCCTGTCGGCATTAACTAACCCACTGAGGTTAATATGCCGTAAAACAAACCAAACCAAAGCAAACCAAACCTATTAAGACAGTGCCTACAATTACAAAATACTGGTAGAAGTTCTAGTTAGCTCAGAATCGAGTAAAGGTTGAATAAAACCCAGCGAGATGAGGACCCCTTATCTGCACACCTCTTTCTTTTCTTGTGTATTTAATTTATTTTCTATTTATATGCCGGCGGTTTGCTCCCACTATATATTTTGGATTATTCTCATGTCGTAGCTCAAATTCTCGTCGTTTTGATATTTTGTCAGTCGCAGAGGTCAGTTCGGATTTAACAATATTTCTCAATTCCTTCAAATTTAATTCCTCTTCGTTCTGTCAGATTGATACTCATTTTGTTCGCCGTCACGTAAACCATGATTGAAATGATGCATTCTCTCCTCATCCATGTCCAATAAACTCATTTATATTGATTTTTCTTTATCGGATAAAAATCGTTAATTTTGATGCTTAGAAAAATGTCGGTCTGCGTGTTGAACAATCGTAAAATCATTGCTTTCAAGGTTTCAGCCAATCGTCATCTGGAAACGAGTCATTATTATAACGAGAGACCTCTAGTACTCTGATGCTTTTTGTTGTTAATACAATGTTTCGGGTGATTAATTCTTCGTCCATCTTTACCAGTATAATCACTATGCAATATAGATTCTGCGATTGTGGGTTGAGTCGTTATTATTCCAAGAAATCTCTGACTATTAACCTTATTTCTTCTATAGTTACTGTTTTTTATTTTCAGCACCCCAATCTAAGGCCATTTTCTATATCGATTGTGCACACATTCAGTCATTAATTCTGACATACAGGGGTAATATATATATATATATATATATATATATATATATATATATATATATATATATATATATATATATATAAGTTATTCCAAAAAAATTTCGCTTGAAGATGGAACAGAGCTTACTTTAATTCAATTTAAGTCAAATAATTATATTGAAGTTTTCGGCTCTTGTTTTGAAACATGAGAACTCTTATGTAGCGTGTTGGAATCATATTTTTGAATAAATAATTATATTTATGCTCTACTTTTTGTATCGAGCACTATTTTTTAAAATAATAACAAAATACTAAAGAACTTTGGATCATTTACCTAACGAGTTCTTTCCTATTTTCTATATATTTTTTTTTTAAATCATATATATATATATATATATATATATATATATATATATATATATATATATATATATATACTGTCACAAATCCAGCGCAGAAAACGTATTGTCGGGCATTATCTGTTGTCACTGCTTACGTTAAGATACGTTTCGTGAGCTGATCAGATCCATTCTGAAAAATAGTCGATCGAGAAAAATCGTCGAAGACTGCGCGTTTATTCAAATTCCAGAGAGACCACCTGTGGTTTATATTGCAACTATGCCGAGCAGAACATTTTTTTGACAGTTTCTGGGAAATAAAATTTATGTTATCAAGCTTGAACAACAATTTGAACTTGAATCAACCTCTGGAATGGTTTTCAGGAACTTTCCGAAGGTGCTGCATTCTGGGATCGAACCCTCCAATCCGATAACATCAGGAAATCTTCTTCCTGACAAATCGACTAAGATAAGATTCGAACCCGGGTCTCATAGTCAGAATGCAAAAAGTTCTAAAACCTCGGCCATGTACCCATAAGAGGAAAACACAATAATATAATATAAATATATATATGTATATATATTTTTAAGCATTTCACGTCAAGCAAGGCGAGAAGCCACTAGGGCGATTTGGAGCGAGACCAGATTGGGGTGATAGAGGAAAGGATGAAGAGAAGGATAGTGGATAGATCAAGGCAACTGTGGATGTCGATTGACATTACATTTGAATAGTTGGAGATTATAGCTATCAGGGAAACAGAAATAGGGAAGGGAGTTCCACAGGCGAGAGGTGCGAGATATGAAGCTATTGGAGTAGAAGAGACGGCTACATTTAACAGTTTCAGTAGTGAAAGGGTGAGAACGGGATGCCAGCCTCGTAGGGTGCTTGAATTCATAAAGTCTGGGAACCAGCGAAAGCAGCTCATCTGAGCAATTACCATGAAAGTATTTGTAAAAAAGACAGCGAGGGAGGCGACGGCGCCTCTGTGACAGAGCGACTGCAGACAAGATGCCAGATCAGGGCCAATTGCATTGCAGATCCGTCTCTGGATCTTATCAAGAACCCCGAGGCAAACAGAAGGTGCTCCAGACCATATATGGCAGCAATACTCCATGGTTGGTTTGTAGATTTGAAGGATCGATTGCGGAGAGATAAATTTCCTGGCTCGGCAAGGGAGCCAACTTTCCTTGCGATGGACGAAGCTACTGAGTTGAGCGTCAGGCATTCTAATGGGGTGGGGCAGTGAAGTATCTCTGTGGTGAACAATTTTGTTTTTAAGGCGTTAAAGATAACGAGCCAATTCCTTCCCCAACTCACTGATATCATTATATATATATATATATATATATATATATATATATATATATATATATATATATATAAATTTTGTGTATATTAATATATATATATATATATATATATATATATATATATATATATATATATATATAATTATTTAAATATTATATGCGCAGTACTTATTAGAAAGCGCTCAGTATCACATATTTGGTCACAAAATCACATCAATCCAACCAAATATGTGATATTGAGCGCTTTCTAATAAGTATTGCGTATATATATATATATATATATATATATATATATATTTATATTTGTTGGATTGATGTGATTTTGTGACCAAATATGTGATGTATATATATATATATATATATATATATATATATATATATATATAATAATAATAATATTATATATATTATAATATTATATATATTATACAATGTTAGAGTATTATTAGAACACTACAATACATATATATATATATATATATATATATATATATATATAAAGAGAGAGAGAGAGAGAGAGAGAAGCACGGTGGAGTAATGGATATCGCTTACGTGCTAATACCCTTGGGAAAGGTGTGAATCCTCTTCTTCTCCCTCCAGTTATGGGTAAATAGCAGGACAGACTGGGTTCTATAGCCTTTGATGTCAACTGTCTAGGAGAAGGACAACTCTGAATTCAAAACCTGCAGAGTGTCGTTTGGGGACCTTGTGGCACGTAGTGCACCAGGTCTCTGTATTCGGCCCTTCAAAAAGTGTGGATGGTCCTGCACGAAACCTTCACTAATATAATCAATTCTCATGTGCTGGTGTCGGGCTGTGGGAATTATAAATAATATTATATATTATTATATTATATTATTATTATATTACAATAATATATAATAGATATCATATAATACGAGGAAATAATAATGAGGGTGTTATAAGAGAGTATAGGCAAGGGGCAAACGTTTCACTGTGAAAAGATTTCGATGAAATAAGAGGAAGCTGAAGAAGGTGGAAAAATGAATGACAAAAAGGACAAAGAAAAATCTGAGGAAAGACTTTTAAAAAGAGAGACGAAGAAGGAAAAGAAATTCGAAGAAAAAGGAGAAGACGAAAACAAAGAAGAAAATATAAAGATAACGAAAAAAGTTTTTTTTTTTTTACAAAAATATGAATAAAAATAAAAATAGTCGAATACAATGTAAAAAGATAAATACTGAAAAGTCATAAATAGGCAAAGAAGTGCTCCCAATATAACACTTAAACGAAAGAAATCAAGCAGAAGCAGAAAAAAAAAATAGAAAATTATCATAAATCTTTGAACGTAAGGCCGGTCCTAATGTCTCCGGTAATTCCCTGCCGTCTATCCACCCCAACATAAGTTTTCTTCTTTCGTTGTAATTTTGTTTTTTACTATATCATTACTG